GTATCTGTTCATTTTTAAATCAGTCAAAAAGGAGGCAGGGCCTGTGGTGAATTCAGTTTAGAGCAGGAAACCCCAGATCTTGGCCCATTTGATATGCATTTTCAGAGGAGTTTATAAGTATTATATTAACGATAATTCTTCAGTAAATTACAAAAGGAAATGTTATGTGTAAAGCATGTTAAAAGTTTATATGCTGCTTCTCAGACTTTGGAATATTAACAAGATTAATCTCAGAGAAGCATATGCAGTATCTGGAGTTTTCTAATCTGTTTTGCAAAGAAAATCTTTCTCTGCTCAGAGCAGCTCATGGGCTATTTCAAGAAATACTCTTGAGATCTCTGACATTCTTTTTTTCTGCACTGTGAATTTGGATTAATTCCAACACGAACTCAAAATCAATACTAAAAAGAGGGAGTTACATATACTCTGACACTGATATGTACAGTACTTTGAGCTGCTCTTCCAGCACTGAATTTTGTTAAAACAATAGTGAGATGTATTATTTTGATGGCATCATAAAGAAATAGCTTTGGAAATATTGTTTGTTTTTCATGCTCTGACCTCAAATGTTCAATATAAATTTCCTTAAAGTTCATGTTCTACCTGATCTTTTGCTTCTATGTTCTGGAAAGGACTATGGGCCACAATTAATAAAATATGATCTAAAAACATTAGGGAGAGTGATTTAGGCTTCAAGTGTTGCTATATTCTAATGAAATTCATTAATACAAAGAGGTGAGAGACTTGAAGACAGCACTTAAATTTCTAAAACAAAAACAGATTCTTCAAAAATGACCTCAAGACATATAGGAATATAATAGTAAGGGGTACTGCTACCTGCATGCTGTGGCAGCAGTATTCTTGCATAATCAATGCAGCCAATTAAATTAGGAAGAGAAAATGAAAACCAAAATTAAGCCAGGACATACCTACTTCTCAGAAGCATGCAGAATAAATGGAAGTCTCATAATGGTGGGATGCCAAAAGCACATTCTCTGTGAAAACGAATTTAGATATTTCTTAATATTATAACATGCTTACCACACTACATTGAAATGTAAATAGGATATTTCTTTCAATTGCTTCTACAATAAGATTATAGTCATGGAGAAATTTATGATATTTGTATTTGATCTGGGAACAATTGCCATGTAAAGGAAATCAATGTACTAAGCCTGATTTTCATCTTAAAATGAAAATTATTTATGCATATGGATATATTTAAAGCAAATACACATGAAAATCATACTTGGCTTGTAACTGTTTTGTCAGTATTTTCCATGCTATTCATAGCTAATTCTCTTATTTTGATCTTTGAACTCAAGATTTTTATTTATAGCTGCCAGAATCTAGATGTATAGAGACATCTCATATTTCAACCAAATCCTCCAGTGTACCTATCATAGTAAAGAGCAACTCTTATTTCTGTTGATTAACCCCAAATTTCCCAACTGTTCTGTTTCCTTTCTGTGTATCCTAGATTCTGTTTCTAAAGCTTGTCAGCCCTATAAATAATACACACCCCAATCATCTCACTCGTTTCACGCCTACTGCAGTCTCCTAGCAAAAGTCACCCAGGCCTCCTAACTCTGCTTTGCTCCCACGTCCCCTTCCCACCTATTCACAGAAAAAACAAACTGATCATTTTAATGCCTAAGTTGGACATGTGACTCTTCAGTTCTAAACTTCCCAGTGCTTTTCTGTTTACATTATCTTGAGTGTTGGTAGCTGTTAAGTAAAAAAGTCTGAATCAATTGCACATTACAAGTTTAGCATTTGTTCACATGATGTCCTGATAGATAGCCTGCTGTCCTCTAAAGTGTATTTTCAGAGGTCCAAACACCTTCCAAGTTGAGGCTTTTTAATTTCAACATGTGTCTTCCAAATTATATGTAGAGTGTGAGCTTATCTAGCTAGAATAATAATCCAGAAAAGAACCTTACATATAGGATGTTCCTTTAAATATGAGTGAGACTATGCTCAATTGGTGTGGCTTTGATAATACCTTTTCTTTAAATACCTTCTTCATGTATCTATAATGTCTACAGTAGCACTCATTCTTTACATAATATTGGAAATACAAACATATGAAGATGGTAATATAATAAGAGGCCTCTAGTCTAATTCTTAAAAAATGATTCAAAATACTGGGGATGACATGAGAAAGGAATTAATTTTATCCTATAAAACCAATTTCATCTCATTTCAAAAAGTAAGTCTGGGGGCTGGAGAGATGGCCCAGTGGTTAAGAACACTGGTTGTTCTTGCAGAAGACCTAAGTTTGAATCCCAGCACCCACATGGCAGATAACAACTGTCTGTAACTCCAGTTCCAGGGGGTCCGATGGCCTCTTCTATCCTCCATGGGAATTGCACGACATGGGTGCACTTATATATATGCAGGAAATATACTCATCATACACATAAAATAAAAATAATAAATAAAAAAATATAAGTCTGAGGATATTGTGGCACTAAGGGACACCAAAGGTTTCCTTTCTTTGAAATCCACTCCTATATACTATTGTTAACCATTAACAGAAAGGTATTGAGTCAGCAAGCTGCTGCTCCAGCTGACTTCTGAAGAGCAGAGTCCATCATCCTTGCCTGGAAGGTGAAGTCTCCATTGTGCCTTGCCTAGTCCTGGGACTAGAGCTGAGACTCGCCCCCGTCCCCCATTGCAATCATTAGTTTACTTACCCCAGATTCATTCTCCCCTTTTCTCCTCACTGTTGTAGATGCTATGGGGCTATTCCCTGAAGACTTTTTTTCCAGTATTCTTCTCAGCTGGCTTTGCATCTATGTAAAGGAAATGTTCCGCGGTAGTTAGTAGATGAGAAAAAGTGAGAAGACCTGGTCCTTTTCTCTTTTCCCTTTCTACCTTGAGAATATCCTCTGGCAGGAATCGGGTCTGCTCTGTGGACCAGGCCTCCTCTCCTCATGACTTCACCTTCCATCACACGATGTCAGCCATTAGCTTCTATACAACTTCTTCAGTTGTCCCTATAGCTTACAAATACTAATGACTTCTCACTTATATTAATCTCTAAATCTTTTTTTCTCTTTCCCTTTTGCTTCTTTCATCATTTCTGTAAATAATTCCTTGTATTCAACTTCCTCTATATTAAGTATCTAAGAAGTTATATGTATCTAAGATGTTTGTACCTGGCATGTACAAACACACACGCACACACACACACACACACACACACACACATACACACACACACACACACACACAAACACATCTCTGCCACCTGTTTAAAGAAGAACAAACAAATAAACCCCTTCTTATACGAATACATACTGAATTAAAGAATGTTCCTGCTTATGTTTTTGACTCCAAGGTGGAAAGTCACTATATCTTATATTAATATCATCTATTAAAAAAAACATAAGTGTATGTCTAAATTTATATAATAATAATGATCTTTTGCAGGAAAAAATAACAAAATAATAATCCAATAGTAATAATAAAATTAATAAATAATTCAAGGCAAGGTATGCACCAGGAAGTGAGGCTTCCTCTTTGAAACCAAAGGTAGGGTTTGGCTGTCTGCTGAGGGAGTGAAGGCTGCTGGCATTTTGTCATTTGCAGTTATGTAAGGTTTTTTCCCTGTCATTTATCACTTTTACAATATCAGAAACAAATAAAAGGCAGAAACAAAACACCATGCCTAATTTTGTTAAGTGTGCATGCCTGTAGGTATTTTTATCTGTAATAATAATTGAAAGTATAGAAAATTCTGCTGTAAGGTTTGCTTTGAGATCAATATTTTTGAGCATTTGATTCTGAAATGTGACTAATATGTTAGGAAAGAATTTGAACATGCCATCACTGCTTCTGTGCAGTTTCGTCAGTGAAAACATCATGTGACGTTGAAAATGACATCCCACTGAATTCAGAAACCGGCGTGCTGTAGTCTAATGGCCAATCACCACTATCAAATTGACTGAATTTGGTGTTACCTAAGAGACACACCTCAGGGCATATCTATGAAGGGCTTTCTAGAAAGGTTCAACTGAAGAAGGAAGACCCACCCTGAATGGGCTGAGGTCTCAGAATGTGTTAAAAAGAAAAAGAGGAGGCCAGCTGAACACCAGGATTCTTGATTCTCTGCTTCCTGACTATGGACACAACATGGCCAGCCACTACATGTTCCCTCCACCATGGCTTTCACATCATAAGGACTATGCACTATAACAGTGACCCACAAATAAAGTCTTCCTTTCTTCCTGGGGTTGTTTTTATCAGTTATTTAGTCACAGAAATGAGAAAAGTAATATGGTCAGATTTCAGATCATTTCTTCGTGAACTTCACAGTAACTCATGATCTGCAAATCTTCTGAAGTTTCTTTGAGGAATTTTATGCTCTTCTGGCAAGGACCACACATTCCCTGGTAATACCCTCTGTCTTTAATGCCAATGTCCCTGGAATGTTCCTCAAGGAACAGTCACTTAAGCTCTTTTCGCAACCCCTCGGCATTTTCATTGGAAGTTCATGCAAATGAAAGAAATGTAGAGAAATTTTGCCTAGGTAAGTTTCCACCAAACAGTGTAGATTATGCAATGGGCCAAAATGGCCCTGAGTTGATTTGCAAATGTTCTAAAGGTCACAGGATTGACAGGAGGAATGCACAGGAGACAAGCGGCATACCCCTTCTTAGTCAAGCTATTAAGTAGACTACCTGTCACTTCAAAGTAGTCTTGTGTGAAAAGACTGAAAATCAGATAATTGCACATTTCAAAATGAGGAAAGATTTAATTTTTCTCATGCGATTTGACTTGAACTGCTATCTCTGTTTCAGAATGGACTTTTACCTGTGTTATCATCTGTTCTGTTGTTTTTCCCTGTTTTCATTTTGCAAGCAACAGTTTTCTGCTTTTCTTTTCTTTCTTTTTCCTTTGTTTTCTTCTTTTTTGTGATAAGCTGCTTATGCTTCAGTCAAATTTCTGCAAATGCTTGTTTGGGCAAAGCAGTCCCCCTTCCCTCCCTACCTGCTCCTTCTTGGGAGGACACCCATTGACCTCTGAACTTGTGTTTTGCTGCCTTTGCACACGCACTCTGTGGTTGGCTGTGCTTTGGGAAGCTTTGTTCCTAGCAGTTCTCTGACAAAGGCTTACTCTGTGAGCACAGTTCCACTGCAGGACTTCTTTGTTTAGGCTCTGGCTTCAACTACGGAATCACAAATACTCTCCAGCTGGGAGTCGGACAGGGACAGAAATGAAGAACCCAGGAGCCCAGCAAGATGTTTCAGTTTCCCAGGGTGTTCGAATGATGTTTTACTTGATGAAGCCTAGTGAGACCTCATTCCAAACCGTCGAAGCAGTTCCTGATTACGTTAGAAAGGTGAGACTATATTGAAAGAGGCTCTCTTGCTCTTTACTTTAAAAGGAAGGTCAACACATACTGGGGATTTGTTCACTTTCACGCTTTGAATTATTACAGTCTAATAAAAAATACAGTTTCTTCAGTCAAACAGCAAAAGTGCAATTTCTAAGTGAATTCATCTTCATATAATATCCATAGCTGCCATTGTCTGTAAATTCCTTTCTTTATATGTCAATCTAGAATATGATAAATAATTTTAGTTTTCCTGGACATGATAGCATTGCAAATTTAGCTGTTGGAACTAGATGTTAAATGGTTATGCCACATCAGTAAACTTGGTAAAATTCTCTTTTAAAATGTGTAACTTGTCCACCACCTCCAGCAAGTATTTTCTCTTTCATTTGGTGGAGTGGGTCTGTAGAAGGAAGGACACACAACTTGTCTGAATCTAACTTCCTAAGTTTGAACTTGAACTAAGTTTTTCTGGAAACTCTGAAACTTTCAGAGGTGCTTTTCACTTCTGCTGCCTGCTGTGATTGGAAGTACAAGAATCCAGAAGGAAACGGAGTGCTGAACTCCCAAAGCTCTCAGAGTTAGTTGTGAAACACTTACTGGCTCAGGCCAATAACAGGAGAAGAAGAGTGACAACACAGAGCTGTTCTTGGGAGGTCAGCTTAGAGAGCATCAAACCATGATCAGTCCCTACACAATTGATTCCCATCTTACTTTAAGATTTGATATTGCCATTTTTTAAAAAAAGAAACGTGGTGCTAGAAAGATGTCTCAGTGGTTAAGAGCACTTACTGCTCTTCCAGAGGCCCCACATTTGGTGCCTTTCAAGACTCTCCTCTGGCATTTAAGAGCAATCCCTGCCAAACACACACCCATACACAAACAACATGGAAACACACATACACATACATAAAAATAAAATCTTTAAAAAATATTTTATTATTATTATTTTTTAAACAGAGCATAGGGTAGGGTTTATTCACAGAAGAGTGGGCGCCCCACACTTATGGCTCTGCCGTAAGTCCGTACTCAATCATAGATCGTATGACCTCCTGACAGCCACACAAAATTGTGAGAGAGGTGCTTGATGTTCTAGGCTTATATAGCCTTTGCCCCTCCCCTCACATGCAGCTAAGGTCAACTGATTGGGTGGGAGGGGTAACGGACTCCTTGATGAGCACAGGAAGGAGGTGTGATTATAGCTTGCCAACATAGTGGTCGGAGGACACTTCCAGTTAACACTTCACTCCTTCCTCTGGCTCTTGCATTCTTTCTGCCAACCTCTTCCACAAAAGTCCCTGAGCTTTGGAGGGGACATAAAAATAAAATCTTTAAAACAGAAAAAAAAAAGAAAAATGTTGTGCTCATATCTTCAAACATTAATATTATTTATAGTGCAACAACAGACCTAACCCAGCATTCATTTGTCAATGCTGAGTCTTAAATTATTTATTATAATAAAACACAAAATCACACCTGAATGAATGAAATTACCTTATTTTTTGACTCTTAGAATTTTTTTTTTTGCTTCTGTTTCATGTCATCATCTAGCAATCCTAATAAGTTTTTTAAAATTCTAATTGTAGATGCCCTTAAGGAGATCCTCTAACTGTGATTCTGACTACTTGTAGGCAGAAGACAGACTGTAGCTTGTTTAATTAACTTTAGTGTATTTTCTGGAATGTTGGGCATTTTCTTTTCAAATTTAGTTATTTATCTGACATAATTAATATAATCATATTTTTTTCATTTTTTAATTACTTGGTAGATTTTGAATATATGTTTAGTGCATCCTCAAATAACTAAATTTCTTTGCCCATTGTGTTGGAAATAATCTCATAACACAGATGTAGACAGTCACCTGCTGGGCTTCCCAAATATCAAAGGACTAACCAGAAAATGTGGAAAGTTTCATGTCGGATAGAACAGCGTCTCTTCCTTGCAATTTTCTTTCTAGGCTACTCCATTTTTCATTTCCTTGATACTGCTTGAACTAGTTGTCAGCTGGATTCTCAAAGGGAAGCCATCAGGTCGCCTTGACGATATTCTGACCTCCATGTCAGCTGGTGTTGTATCTCGGCTTCCAAGGTGAGTCCCATGTTTTAAAAAAAATCAGTGAAAAATCCTAAGAAACTTCAAATGTGAAGTAGAGGAAACCTCATGTAAATAATTGATGTATTCACAAATACATTCTTAAGGATTTCAGGATCATGCAAACTTTGTTACTTTGTTCAATGTTGATTTGTTTCCTTTAATTTTTAATAGAGCTTCCTACACATCGCTTGTTTTAAGACTGACTTTCCTGGCACTTATTTATATTTTTGCACTGAAGTGAGTTCTTTACCTACCTTATTGTAGTCCCTGTCCTGAGTTTTCAACCAGTTACCTGCAGGAGATATTATTTTGTCCTAGTCAAATTTGCACTTCCTAAGCTTCAAACATTTCCACTGTGTGTTGGGCAAGTCTGTGTACAGCTGCAAAACTCTCTTCATCCTGGGTCTAGTCTGACCCCACTGGCTGACCCCATTTGTATCATAGGGATCGTATAGAAGCCCTCCACTGCTTCTGTATTTCCCTGAACATGAAATAAAAAACCTTTCCTGAAGCATACAAGGGTTACTCTCTTTAGCCTTCGCTGGGCCCTCTACTCCCCTTCTCCTTCCTCATTTTTGTCCCATCATGCTGTGATGCTAGGCATTCCACACACCTCAGAGACACTTCGTTCCACCTGGAAAGCCATTCATAAGGCTCCAGTTCATTTTATAGGTCTTAGCACAGACATAACTTCAGCAAGCCTTATCTGCTGCCAAACTCTGAGTTAGACACCTCCTGTTTGTGTTCTGTAATTGTGCTTACCTAGAAGCAAGGCTCTCTTCTTCCCCTCAGGCCTCCTTTCTAGCACGTATTCACCTTGAGAACAAGGGAATTGCTTATGTCAAAGTTTTAGTTCATGTGACTGGAATCATGCCTGGTGTATAACAAATGCTCAAAAAATAATAATAATATCTTTGTAGTGTCCGGTTGATGATAACATTGGGTAAAGAAGGGGTCAAACAAGCAACAAATCATCTGCTTTTTGGTAAGAATGAATAGAGAGGTAGTAAAGGAAAATCTAACAGAGGGAGGATGGAAGACACCTTCAGTATATGAGGATTAATCAGAGGCAAAGTGCAGGGAAGAGAGCAGAGGTGGCTGTGCTTCCAGCGGGGAAGGAATGTGCTCATTTCGGACTCACATCCTGCTTCTTCCTACTGTTTGTAGAACTTAATTTCTGACTAGAGCTCATTGCTTTGGAATGCTTCTAGGAACCACCCAGTGGGAAACCAAGGTGGATTTATTTTTAAAAGAACGACATTAAACTTTAAATATATCTGGGAAAAGGTGCAATAATTTGATATAACGTGTTTAGGTAGGAAGTAAATTTTTAAAATGCATGTCAGTGTTACTTTGAGAAGATTGGATCATTAGCTTTATAGCAGTAACAATAATAATGATGACTCTGAGGCGTTGTTATGGTTACACAGTACAGTCAGAATCAGTGGATGATCACTCCTCTGATTCAGTCTCAGATTGCCTAAAATAACAACTTTAAGTTATAGATGATTTCCTGAATTGCATGGTTCTTTTTTCAGAAATAAGCATGAATTCCTTTCATATACTCTTGGGCATGTAGATCTAGACACAAGTTTGTTTACTGAAGAAAATCCCATTAGTTTCTATAGCCCATTCCAAGAAGGGCATGCACTATGAGCTTTTGGAAATCTGTTGATCAACTGTGAACACCATTTTATGGCTGGGAAGTGCTCTGCAGGTATAATTATAGGTCATGGATCTTAGTGACTTGGAATGAGGTGTTTTTGGTCTGATTTTTTTTCAAGAATTTAGAGTCATCATACTGGATGAATGCTTCAGGATTTCTTTTACTTTTCTAAATTTAATTTTGGTAATAAGCAAAATTAGACTGCTCCTTTATAACATTAGCTACCAAATATACTTTGTTCTCAGTATAGCTTTTCTTTTCAACAGTATGACTTTAAAAGGCACTGAGTTAAAACAGTGAAACAAGACTACAAATACATATTTTTACAGAAAGCATACCTCAGAAAGTAGATACACAGTATACAACACACATATACACACTCGGTGTATCAACGGGGAGGGGGAGATGAGAAGAGAGGAGGAGAGGAGAGAGGAAGGACAGGGGAGGGGAAGGAGGAGAAGGGGAAGGGAGGGGAGGAGACAGGAGAGCGATTTAGAAAGAAGCAGAGAATCAAAACAAAACTGACCAGTCTTTTGGGAATAGAACATGAACTTCTTTTTCCTTCATCCGTTCTTCTTTACATCCCTTAAACTAACAAAAACTTAAGTCATTTTATAGCTCTGGAGTTCTCTGAGAGAAATGTAAAATACTATTAACTTGAATTTGTAGAACATTTTCCTGTAGCTGTATTTTAATGAAAAATGAAGGAAAAAATTGCTTCTTTGCTTCTTACAAATATAGAAAACAATCCTGAATTATGAAATGTAGGCAGGTTTTTTTTTTTTTTTTTGCAAAATATCTCAACTCTCATATCCTGTACTTGAAACAACCCAGCAAAACAAACTATCTGAAAGTGATACTTAAATACATTTTCTTTTACTTTTCTCCTATTAAAAATGAAAGTTGTAAACAGAAGAGAGAGCTGAGACAACACTCTTCTCAGTCTCCTTACAGAAAAAAGTAAAGAGAACCTTGACTCAATTCTTAAAACAGTATTTCAGTCAATGCCATAATATCCAGGCGAATCCCTGTGCAAATCTTTAGCAGCCGAGGGTTAGATTAACACGGGGTGAGTCCTATGTGCAACAAGGAGCGAAGTTCATTTTCTGTACAGCAACAGGGACTTGCCATATCCTTCAAGTATGTGATTGCAAGGGAAAGAAATACTATATCATTAGTTAATCCACTTGTGAAGAACTGTGCTCTGGATAATAATTCTAAGCAGCACATATGTAGCCCCAAATAAAAGAACTAGAAATCAAAGTGAACAACTTTTTCCATCTCTGCATTCCTGCAACAGAAATGTTGTCTGGAGATTTTGAGGAAAAGCAATGTTCATTTGAAGATCTTGATTTCATGATTTCATACAATTTGAAGTCTCTTAAAGATTAATAGTTTGCTTACTATATTCAAAGAAAAGACACGTGGTACACCTTTAAAATGTTTATGTATGGGAAAATATTAATCACAGAGAAGACTATATCTTGTTTACAAACCTGTTCCACAGACCTTCATTAGTAATAAAAGTCCATCCATCCTCACACCAGATTCTGCATAATCCCACATTTGTTTCATCTTCTGAAATACAGTAGGCAACCTTCCTAGTCAGAAGCCAGTCCTGAAATAGGTATTCTGCCGATCGGAGCTGAACAGATGTATCTTACAGATCGGTTGCTTCTCTGTCAACTACTTGTGCAGACAATAAAAAATAAACTGGTTTTAATGAATTATACACAAAATATAATATTTAATAAACTAGAATTTGCAAAAAGCCTACTGACTTACACATTAACGATCGAAAAATAATCACGTCTCTTTCCTCTTGCTCATTTTTCCAGAACTCAACTTCTAATCCTTCATTAGAGAGCAAGGACTTCACTTTGTTACTTCCTCCCAGTGTTTCTGCTGCCATAAATTGCATCCTCCCCAGAGAAGTTTTATTCCTGATATAAATGTCTGTAGTATGTTTGTTTTTAAAGTGTTCATTTATTCGATTGAAACAGCAGATTATAAATCAAATTGCAATAGGTTCAAGGGAAAATTTAAGTGGGTAAATTTTCAAATAAGTTGAAGACACTCCACTCTCAATATGTGTGGGTCATTGCTGGTTTTTACTATGGAACTAGTTTGTAACTAACTGGCCATGCCTGCTATGGAATTTTCCATTCCTGACAAAAACATTTCAGTTCATGAAAAAAAAAAATTAAAGGAAGAAATTAAACATCTTTGAAATATTCTGATGTCCTTGGGGTGGGGCTGGAGAATAAAGAAAAATTGGTTACTGAAATTTCATACTAAGTTTTAGTATATGAGGCAAAGCTATCTTTAACAACATCCGTATATAACCAGAAATGCCTCTCATTTGATGTGACTTTAATAATCAGGTATTCATTGTTCTAGATAAAAGCAATTAAACTTAAGTAATGTTAAAAATAATGCTGCATTGCTGCTATTAAATGTGTCATTCACAGAAATTTTTAAAATATAGCTGTATGAAAAATAAAAAAAATTAAATTGTTGCTTTATTAGTTACATTTACTAGGCAAAAATTCCTCATTTCCTCTTATTTATAACATAGAAACACTATACATAGACTTTGTTATTAATTTTGTTAACTTCAAGGAATCTGAAGTTAACACACTTTTCACTAGAGTAATATATTTTCCTATGAAGAATGTAACAAATTTATTTCTTCTAAATGTATCTACCTTGTTGTGTTATTAGTTTATAGTTTAATAGTTTTACAAAGAAACCAAATGATCATTTGATAAGCATAATGTAATTTTACAATAAGAAATAGAACACTATATCTGTTCACAGAAGGTAGAAGATGTATCTTTTTTATTATTGGTGAGGAAAAGTCAATATTCCACTAGATGGAGCAAACGTGGCAAGAGCTTTCCAAACAGGCAGCACAGGTTCTCAGGTCAGCTGTAAGTGATTTTCACAGTAAATATCTCATAAAATTTCTTAGAGGAAAATTGCTTAAGGATAATGTTAAAATATTTTATTACACTTATTTTTTATGTGTATGTGTGTATATGTTTGTATATGGTATGTGTGTGTGTGTGTGCACATGTGTGCCATAATGTACACGTGGAGATCACAGGACAACTTGTGAGAGTCGTCTCTCTTTCTACCATGTGAATCCTTGGGATTGAAGTCATGTTGTTAGATTTAGGAATCAAGTGCCTTTATCCACTGAGCCATCTCACTGCCCCAGAAAATTGTGATATATATATATAT